GAGAGCATGCCAGCAAACTCCTTTATTGGCTTAGCTGAACCTTCTTTCAGCAATGTGCTATCTTTTATTAAAACAATGGTACCTTTAGAAAATACCATCGCTTTTTCAACATCTATTAATGAAATTTCTATAAATGCTTACTCATGGTGGGAATTGTTGGAGCACACACACAACTGTAAGGACATCATTTTGAATGATTACTCCTTCCTGACCTGATCTCAAACTGAACAAGCCCTTTTAGGTGCAGGGAGATTTAATGGATGGATATCATACCTCAAGTCTCAAAGATGGCACTGTATGAAGCAACATTTATCCTGTCCATTTTATCTTGGAAACTTTGCTGACACTTGATCTTTTATTTTTCCAGGAAAAGTTTGCTGAGCGCCTCTTTTTCAGCATCTTGCTTCACACTCAGTCAGTTAAAGGCATTCACACCTGGGAGATGCCTAATATATCCATTGGCGTCTACTGTTCGCCATCAAATCCCTTCTGGGCACAGCAGAGGGTCACATGCCGCTAATAGCACCCGAATAGTTGGTGGAAGAAGGGGGGGAGCGTTACACATTTCACCTCGAACTCAATTTCAAACAGTTGACCTTCTGTCCACAAAGCAATTTTCTAATCTTCAAGATATCTTCTAGGTGTAGTTGTCAAGTCATGACCCAAGCTCTGCGAAAGCCAGACATAAGTACGTGGGCCTGTGTTTTTTTGCAGCATAGTGCCTAACGACATTAGTCTAACCCAAACCCTGCACTTCAGAGAGGAAACCCAAATGAGCAAGTCCTTGATCCCGTGATAAATGCTGTGCTGAATACAGAGCTCGTTAACAGTGAGGTGCCGGATTTTCCCATTAAGCCTCGGAGTGACACCATTACTGTTAACACAGTCGAGTGGGGTTTAGTCCAAATTGAGCCAACAAGTGGCACGGGCCAAAATTACCCAAAGAAAAAGTAGTGAACATGATATTGAAGCACATGGTCATTCCGAAGATCTGGTTTTAGTTGAACACTGTTTTTGCAGTGATTATGTAAAGGCTGGGGTGTACTCCTGTCCTGGATCCCCCCACTGTGTTTGCATATGGAGTTTGATAGTCACATTACACTCTGGCTCTTTATCGTTTCTTCAGGAGCAGTAGGGTGGCTCAGTGGCCATTAACATTTTCCATAACCCTTTAAAATAATGCAATGATCCGCCGTCTCCAGAATTCAGATCTTATTGTTTCCTGTAATAAGGCAGAAAGGCCTAGATTCCTTCTCATGCTCCCTGACCGTCCGGTTCATCCACGTCTGCTAGAGGTGTCCATGTCTTAAGGGGACATACGCAGAGCAAGATGTTGTGTCTGGGGTTTATGTAACAGGCCAGGAGTGGGACAGTCCCTTCGGTCTGTTTACGAGGAAGCTTAGTGGCAGCACACACATTCTGTTTTGGTGATGGAAAAAAATATAACTTCCCTCTCCAGACAATAATTTTGTTTAGTCTTTCCACTGTGTCAGCAGGATCACACTTCATGTAGATGACACGTGCATCAATATACAGCATCCGAAAACTCTAGCATGCTCAGAGGCAGATATTAACATACTGTAACAATATGCAATTTTTGCCATTGTTTGGAGCTTTACACTACCATAAGGACAGAAGTGGTTGGTCAAGATTCTTTGTTTTGCGACTGTTTTAGTGCAATTTGCAAATTTAAGTCATTTCAAATGCCAAGTATTCCTCGTGTTGTGTAACTTGTTTCTCCCTTTTAACACTCAAGGTTTCTGGTTATTTGTTTGGATCGTGGCAAGCATGTTGATGGCATCTAGGTTTCTAGTTTCACTCATTCTGTTATGCAAATTATAATTTTTCTACTATGGCACAGAAAATAGAAACAACAAAAAGGGGGGAAAAATATGTGCGGTATTACAAAATTAGTCTCAAACGGTGTGAAAGATTCAGTCTAATTTGTGGCTTTTGACCGTTTCAAACAATCTTCCTCAGTTTTCCCAGTTTTTATGGAATTGTGCTGTAATAGTAGTAGTTTGTTTTCTTTAAGGAATTGTCTATGTTGGCTTAAAAGTTGAGATTTTTCCATCTTTCAGTTTGAAGTTTAAGAAATATTTAGCCGAGTCGTTGATTAATTGATCAACAAAAAAATTATCTGCCACATTTGTAACGATTGATTAATCGTCGTTTTTCAAGTGCAAATTCCAAAAAAATGCTGCTTATGTTTTCTTCCATGTCCGAATCCAATGCTTGTCTTTATCACATATGATGGTAGACTAAATATCTTTTTTTGTATTGGACTGTTAGTCCGAGTAAACAAGCACATGGGTTCTGGGAAATTATAATGGAAAACTAGATTACTTTACGACGTGTTTTATATATTTGTGTGTGTATGTATGTGTGTGTGTGTGTATATGTGTATATGTGTATATATATATATATATATATATATATATATATATATATATGTGTATTATATATATATATATATATATATATATAGTGTATATATATATGTATATGTATATATATATATATAAATATAATATATATATAATGTTTCTCTGGACAACAGGATGTGTGTGCTGTCATAATTTAATTTATCTAACTAGAGAAGTAAACATGAGGGGCTCACAGTTCTCCATAGAGAACGCCCTCTTTCAAAAATACTGGACTCTTTGTCTTCAGAGAGGGTGATCATTAGTTTGGCTGTTGAGGGGCTGGCTTGGTTGGTTGCTTGGCCATGCAGTTATTTTGACCTCCTCAGTAAGTCAAATTGAGAAGCCACTCGTTTATAGCTTTTGGCTGACACTACAGGGGGGAGATAGTGACCAAAAGTTTCACTTGCTAGATCACAACTATAAAATTTCGGAGCCGTGATGACAGAATCCTTGTGGCCGTTGAATGATTTTTTTTTTGTCTCGTTAACAGAAATAATGAGAGGTAATATTATGAAACAACACGCTCATTTTTGAGCCAGCTTGTAAAATGTACTGATGAAATGGAAGCGCCTGGTAGATTTCTGCCAAGAAGGTGAATGTGATCATTTAGGTAAGACATGACTAAACTCCTCTCGCCTGAACCCCTCTCGCCTGAAGCTGTTCTGTGCATTTTTACAGAAGTTTTTGTGTCCCAACTAGTCAGAACCTCTGCTGACACCATCTGGTGTAACAGCCGAACTGCATCTTTCAAAACCAACGACATAAGCTGGGCTAAAACAGATCTCTGCATCTGGAAGAGGAAAAACAGTGAGTCGTCAGTGAGCACACCCCTCTGTTGTTACAGCCTCCACCCTCCAGCTATTGTTTTGAAATACACTTGCCAAAGGGGGCGGAGGAAGGGGTGGTGGAGGTGGGGGGGTTATCACCAAAAGGCTAAGGTCTAATTTATTCAGCTGCCTCCCCCCACAGTGAGTGTTTGTATGCTTTGCAATGGGGACGTGTGCCGATGCATCTGTGCCCTCCTAATGGACAACACATTCAATTTCTGACGCTATAAAACATCATGTGATAAACCCGGAGAAATGGAGGAGACTGCCCTTTGCTCTCCTGTGACGTAGAGCCACCCATAAAGTCACTGTCATTTTTACATTGTTCTCCTGAGCAGCTTTGCAAGTGTGTAGCGGAAATGCTGATGATGGGGGGGGGGGGGAGCTCACATCAGCTGGTATCAAACAAAAAGCTTTGTGGTTACAGGACTGCTATGATAGCTAGTCCTCAGTGAAACACTTGACCGTGTTGTCACAGCGGGATGGTGGCTCTGACACAGATGTCTCGGTTTAGAAGCGCTGGTCTCTGGGCCGGAGGTGTCCAGAGTTGGAATGTGCTGCCTTGTGGTCCTGGAGACTTTGTTTGGGGGAGGGAGGGTGCACTGCTTCAGACTGCAGGGAAGGAAGGCCCATGTTGAGGTTAACGCAGCAAGTGGTCCTTACATAAACCCACCACATGTCTTCCTCCTTGAATAAAATGTACAGTTTGCTTTGTTTTCCTTGGACACCGAATGACAACAGATTAGTTTAGGGTTTTTTTCCCTCCTCTCTTCTGTCTCTAACATTTCTTATAACTCCTTTAGGCCAAATCTCCTGGTCACTTGACAATCAAATTTGATCCAACCTGCCTGTTTTTTTTTTATTTTATTTTATTTTTTATTACTGATAAAAACACATTCCAGGTAAAGCTCGTGGACATTCTTCTCTCTCACTGTCCAAGATGTGGAAGTGCTCGCTTCAAAGGGAGGAATTTCTTTTCCCCGTGTTGTTTATCGGCCTTTAGATCAAGCAACCGAGTGAGTCGCTTGTTCAGGAATGCAGCTCATTTGCCCCGCTGTCAGCACATCCGTGTGGATGTGTCATATTGTACATCATGTCCAAACTGCAGTCCAGCCTTTTTTTTTCTTTTTTTTTAGATCCTCTGTAATTTGACAACTATTCAAATGAGAAGAAAAATGAGCTGACATTTTTAAAGTCCTACTTTGCCTCACATGTTTTGTTCTTTGCATTGCCCTGGGAAAGGGAGGGAGAGGAGGAGGACTGTAGACATGTGGGACGCTGCATGTTGAACTCCAGTACTTACAAAGCACATGAATTCACCAAGTGGATTCAATGTGTCTTGCTTTGGTGTTTCATTTCACTGATATTAGCTTAATGCGACCAATAAAGACATACAGCATTCTCATTTGAGTTTCTATCACTAGTATACAGTTCATGAAAGAAATGAACCAGCTAAATTAGCTTTTCACGCTTCTTTTTGATGTCTTCTACCTAGATTTTACAGGCTAACTGCTTTAAGTTGACTGAGGTGACTGAAAAACATGAGCACATGAAAACTTTTATGCAATAATTCATTTGGTTGCCAAACACACTGCCAACTCAAGAGTTGTAAAATTTTCTACTGCAGCACAAGGGGACAGGGACAACCGGACAGGTCCAGTTTTTGGCTGGCGGTGAATAATGTCACTCACTGAACTTTTCTATGAGTCGATTAGGCTGAGAGGGGAGGGAGCGGCTGAACTCCGCCCCTTTGTTTTCTCAACATGTGACCCAGCGCGGTTTTAAGACACGCTTGACTCCGACTCAAACAAAAGGCATCCGTGTTTTAACACTCAGTGGAGTTGGACACGGGAACAACTTTGGAGAAGCTTTTGAGGAACGAAAACATGCGCTGCAAAATGAGCTACAGTCTGCCCTCCTCGCCGGTCACTTCGCCGACATATTCAGGACCATATTCAGGACGTGTGGTGTCCTACAGGTCAAGATGCGCCAGGTAATGCACTTTTATATACGGTGTCTGCCATGTGTTTCTACCGTCGGATTAGTTAACTTCCATATGTACTGGTATGGTTAACTGTCTGTGTTATTGCATCTAAACGCTCCCACTCTAAACTCACTCACTCACAAGTGTTGCACTTCTTTATATGGCGGCATTTAACTCACACATGGGCAGCTGAGTGTTTTACGCCACCTCGGACATGGTAGCCATCCAATCTGTTCAATAGACATTTCCCTCTGGTTCTGTTCCGCGCATCAGCTGTTTGGCACCCAGGCCACCTTATTCTCTGTGGTTGATGGTTAGTGTTTGGTGTTTGTTGTAGTCTACGTGCTGTTGCGGGTTGCCCACCCCCTCCGCGCTGTACGTGCTCCCCAACACGCAGGGACAGTCCATGCTGGATGGAGTAAAGAAGCTCCATATGATTGATGTTGGTCACAGTGTGGTGATGAATAATGCTTACATTTGTGTAGGCCTAGACTGTTTTAAAATGAATCTATAGTACGTTTAACTGTGTTTGCTGGGGTTAGTTCACGCTTTTACGTGTTTCTGCAGTTTTCCCAAGTTGGGTGCACAAGCTACATTACAATTGCGCAAACGACACCTCTTTTATTTATCACGTGAATATATTTCACATGAATGATGTTATATTTATTTTACTGTTGTCCCGCAATAGCTGCAACGTTTGTGTATTTAAGATGGGTCGGCCCATAGTTGAGTAGTTATGTTGGTGGAGTATATCACTTCTCCATAACATGTGTTTTTCTTTGTTTTGTTTTTTTTATTATAAGTGTATCACAAATTTGTTTAAACTCATTTTAAAACGTCCTTAGATCCGGGCTGCACATCATGTTCCCTCTTCTACCCCAGATGTATGTCAGAGCACCGTCTAGCGGTATGGAAACGCGTCGATCCTTTTTCGTCTTTTTTGACATCCACATCCAAGCAGGACTGCGATTGTGCAAGACCCCATTATCTGTACAGACGGATGAAGACCCTTTGTTTGTGTTTCTTTTTTCGTGAGGTAAAGGTAAACTCTGAAACGTATTCTTTTTGACCGGATCGTGCGTAATTAAGTAAGTTGATCATCTTTTATATTAACATTGGGAGGAGTTTCTTTGGGGAGGGTTCGGAGGGATTGATACACCTGTTAACAAAGTGTGCATCAATAACCGGTGTGAGTGCTTTACATTTCGCCAGAACATACAGAGAGTAGAGAACAATGACATTTTACTAACAATGTAAACCCATCACCGATGGCGCCATCACCCGCACCGACAACACAATTCCTGCAGGAGAGGAGCCAACCCGCCCTTTCTGTAATCTGATTTCATCACTGTGGAGTCATGGACAGTCTGCGTGAGATTTGTCGGGGCTCCTGCTGCAGATATAATCAGTGAACATTTTAATGAAATGTGTTGGACAAACAGTGCTTCTTTGTTTTTAAATATTAGTTATTTATTATACTATAGGCTCTAATTTTTCATTATGTGTTACAGTGTGTGTATGTGATCATGCTCTGATCTGTGGAAACTTCCTCGTGGTCAAGTTTATTTTTGTAGCATAATACACAAATATATTCACTTGACATAGCACAAAAGTCAGTGGAAATATAAGGTGGGATTGTTCGGTAGGTTGGTTGGCTAAACACAAGATTTTTTTTGTGTTCATCCAATTTATCAGTGCATAGTGTCTATAATGAAAGCCAAAGATGACTCAGTAAATTGACATTAGACTGAACATGGAGGGGTGGTGGGTAGGTGTAAGGTCCAGTTTGTGAAGTAGTATTGAAATGTGACTGTTTCCTACTTGCTTGTGATCACTGGAACCATTTAAAGGACCCTTTGTTATGGTCAGGAGCCGTTGACGGGCTCCACAGTGCGACTTGCATTTTCATGTAAATCTCTGGTATGGTAATTAATATAGTCTGACCTGTTTGTTTAAAATCATCCCTCTTTGCCTTTTCAACAGCATTGAACAGTGCTAATCTGACACTTCCGATCAAGTGTACTAAAAATAGTGTGTTTTGAAAAATGATTACATCTCACATCTGTTCATCCCATTCTCTGGAAGCAGGTTTGACTGTTGGATTGTTGTTTTTCCCTCTCAAGTACCAGTGAAATCCTCTGAGGTCATGTTTGGCACTCTATGGATGATATTTGTCAGTTGCTGAATGTGAAAGAGCTGATGTCAATCTAATCTTACTCTTTCTCTCTCTCCAGTGCATCCGGTGCCAGCGTCGTCGCCATCGATAACAAGATTGAGCAGGCAATGGTGAGTTTTCCACAATGTCTTAAATGTGGTTAGGTAACTTTCTCTGCAAGCACGTACAGTGACTTGTCATACAAGTTTTCCCACTGCCTAGGCTAAAGTGACACAACTATCGCAGAGACGCTAAACATGGAACTCACTTGGGAATATTTAATGTAATATCCCATGATTCCCCATAATGTTCGAGTCTTGAAAGCTTCTGCCTTTCCTGTTTCTGAGCTACAAGTTTTACTAGGAAAAAAACACACCAGAAAAGCAAACAAAACACTCAGTATTGCTCATGCAATTTGACAGACAGTTGACCTCTTGGAAAATACACTTGCATAACCCCCACAGCAAAGACACTTACATGCTAAAGGTGTTGCCAAAGCGAGAACACACCGCTTAAAGCTCTGAGATGATATTTGTCCCTTTACTTTGTTTGAGGATGGAATCTGCTGTGTTGGAAAAACTATTTTAAAACTATTTTCCTTTTTTGTGTGTTCTCTTTCAGGATTTGGTGAAGAGCCACCTGATGTATGCTGTTCGCGAGGAGGTAGAGGTGTTGAAGGAGCACATCAAGGAGCTATACGAGAGGAACTCGGTGTTGGAGCGCGAGAATGCCGTGCTGAAGTCGCTGGCCAACTCGGAGCAGCTCGGCCAGCTGTCCGGTCAGCTCAGTCAGGGCAGCAGCACAACGCCGCCGCTGCAGCAGCAACACCCACTCGTCATAAACAACAACACCCTCTTGGCTCACCATGAGGGGGGTCAGAGTGTCCCTCATCAGCCCAATATCACCTCGGCGTGAACCCCCTACCCCCCAAAAACACCCCTCCCACTGACAGGAGTGGAAGATCCTGTTAGTAAAGACAACAACTGCTACCGTCCCCTTAGCTCCTTTTAAAGTAAAAGGCTCTGCGTTCAGTATGCTCCATTTGAGGAAAAATCAACAACAGCGACATCTTTGTTTGCCACCAAGAGCCGTGCTTCAGTGAGTGCATGTTGCAGTCACCGGGCCTTCATATTATTAAGACATTTACCACCATATTCTGTCCCTCTGGTTGGCTGCAAGAAAGCTGAAAAAGGAGGAGGGGCAGGGGAACCGGTGCGCACCATAAAACTGCATGCTATTCTCGTGCAGGAGACTGGGGGCCAAAGGGCACATAGAGCTCGATTTGTTGGGGCAACAAGTGGTGGAAGAAGGCGGTGTATCCCTGTGCTGGGCCAGTGTGGTGAAAAGAGTCCTGTAACATCCAGTGAGGACTGTCCCTCCCATAATCTCCACCCCACATCACTCCAGGCCTGGAAGAGGCCAGAGAGCCGAGGGAGAAGTGGAGGAGAGGATTTGTCCTCCGTGAGTGGAGGAGGACACCGGCGGGCGCCTCGGCTCGAGTTGAGCGAGTCGAAACACAAAGCTTGTGTTGTTTTCTCAGAGCCACCGTACTTTGACATTAATCATAATACTTTTCTTTAGTTCAGTTTTAGTATTTGCATTTATTTATTTCAGGGCTGCTATTTTCATAATGTAAATGAACAATGTCATGGAGATACTTATAAAAACAAAAAAGAAACCTTTCTCTTTGGTCTTTTGGTATTTTAGAATTTGTCAGGTATTAAATTTGGTAGTTTCACGCAACAAGTAGATCTCAGTAAGTAGGCAATACGTTCCATATATTAAATTCTTCTCATGAAATAGTGCTAACACTAAAGCCGAGCTTACATTAGGTGAAATCCAGGTTGAATGTATATTTTGTAAAGTGTAAAGTATTAAGAGCGAGGAGGGTTTGTACAGGAGAACGCCTGTTAAGATGTGATGAAATGTTTCGATAAAGAAAATGATTAACTTACTTTTTGTAGACTTTTTTTTGTCAACATGAAAAACAGAAATTAACTTTTGAGGGGTCCGTTGGGTGGATGAAAAGCTGTGAAAATAGTTTGACCTACTTTATAACCAAAGACGCAAAGCTGTGTAAGTGTTTGTTTTTTTTTTCTCCCATTTTTAAATGCACACTTTTTTTTTGTTTTTTTTTCCTACTCTCCTTTTGCTAATTTTTTGTTGCTGTTTTGCATGTTCTGCATGATCTATAATCAAACCACTTTCTTACCTCATGTTTTTATCCAGCACTTATTTTTCTGTCAAGTTATCAGTCTGTGAATGATTGTGAAAGGATTAATGAAAGGAAAAAGGGAACAGTTGGCAGAGAGGCTGGAGCAAGTGGTTGAGGGTAAGAATGGGGGGGGGGACAAAACATGGAAGGTGTTTGTGTCCGATTGGGGTGAAGGGCCTTGTGCACAAAACGGTAGTCAGAAAAGGAGCCAACTTTTTGTTTTCATGTAGATGCTGTGTTGAATTACATATGCAGAGGAAAAGGTTGTTACATTGCAGATTTTAATGTATTTAATGAATGCAGCATTTATATTTCGATTGTAGTGTACCAACACTTGGCTTACAAAGAGGAAAAAAAACCAGAATACAGTATCCACAAACTAAATGGAAACTGTCAAACATCTCACACTTAAAAGCTGGAACCCAGTCGATTGTGTGTGAGCTTATTACGGGATGTCCTGTCTGTGTCACGTCTTTTGTGCCTCCTGTGCCGTCGTCTGCTTTTGTCAGGCGAGCCAGTTTCTTTCTCTGTGGCTTAGAAGTAAACCAAAATGCTTGGTAATTGTACAGTCAGACATCTTTCTACTTCTCCAGGATGGATTCTTTGATTTCTCATTCTTTTTCCCCCCCCACGTATGGGCTTATTTCTTCTGTCACTAGCGTTCTTCTCATTTATTTTTTTTTGTTTTTTTTTCTTTCGTTTGAAGGAGATGCCGTGTACATGCCAAGTGTACTGTATGAAAGAGATCACTGAGCCTTGGAGAAAATATCTTAACAATGCCCCTGTAATGTGCTGTTCAGACAATGTTAGTTTTCAGTTGGAAATAAATTACTGTTTTATTAAGAAAATGTTTTCATGTTTGTTTGTTTTTTTTTCACCGCCATTTTTAGTGGCCAGGAAAACCACTCGGTATTACACTTTATAAATAATATTCATGAATGTGGGTTTACAAAATACTGAACATTTTCCTTTAGTCACGGATAATTCCTCTTTTCTTAACATATTTTAAATTAATCAGAGAATCACAGATCACAGAAGCTAAAGTGATTGTAACATGTTTTCAGTCCATGACAATAGGCCCTTTTCACAGCAGAGACTTTATACTTAATATTAACAGTGGTTTTGTTCCATTCAAGTGTCCCTCTAAGCATTGACAGTGTGACGGTGCCAGCATGCACACTACCAGGACCCTGATACTGTAGCAGCTAAATGGATTTCAGCTATTGTTATTTTTATCATTTACACCTGAGCTGTTCGTCCTGTGACGTCAAATTGTTTTCTAGTCCCCAAAGTCCTCCTTTGGAGTTCGGATTGCTTCGTCTCCCAAGTAGGGAAAGAAAGGGTCCCATACTAAATTTAGTAGCCTGTCCTTCAAAATAAATAATCCACTGTAAAGGTATACATTGTCTGTGAGAGAACAGAAGAATTCTAAGCATCTGAACCTTTGAACTGAGAGGAAACGATCCCCAGGATACAGGCAACTGGGTCAAAGATCAAGAGTTATTCCAAGTATTTTATTAATTTCCTGGAGAACATCTGACCAAAATAAAGATATATAGATACATCAAAATATACAATACAATGCTAATCATGTTCCGTCTACAGTCTTAAATTTAGAACAATTCATTTTATAACGTTTCCCTGGGGTGCTATGAAGTCTACTGTATGTTTAATAATACATTGTGTTTCAAGAATTGTATCTAAATAAATGTTTCAGAGGTGTTAAATAGTGTAAATCATAGCACAAAAACCTTATGAAAGGAAAAATAAATCAAACAGGACAACACTAAAAGGAGAAAAACTACTCGTCCATATAAATGACTATGTGAGTAATTAGGTATCCATCTAACTCTGACCACGTCATTGTCACAATCATCTATACAAGAGCTCAAATCCTCTTCTCATTGTTCGTTAGGATGCTTGAAGGAACCATCAAACTAAAAAAACAAAGATTTTTCTTCTGAAGGAGGAATGAAAGTTGACAAGAGGCATGCGGGAAATCTTGAATGACCTCACTCATCACCGACCTGTCACTATAAACATAAAGTAGTGCTGCATACGTCTTCAGAAAGGTGTTCATTTTCAGAGCAGCCCTGGTATGTAACCACAGATTGTATATAAAAAGTATGTAACTCTATGTCCTCCATCTCCCCCTAGCTAACGTCCACTGACAACCGATGTAAATTTCACTGCTGAAAATATATCAAAATATAAAATATATCAACTGGTCTCTTTGTTTCTCTGTTTTCTTTTTTAAATAAACCGATTAAATGCCAGGATGCTCTTGTAAAATAGATTTTTAATCTCAATGTGACTTTTTCATGGTTATATAATGGTGGTAATAATAAAAAAAATATCTCTGCTTGACATCTTAAGTGTGTGTCTGTATTTTAAAGTCATGAACTTGCATTAGTCAAAACACATGGTTTTATGGAACAGTTTTTTATAATAAGTCCAATTCTTTGACGCCTTCTTCATGACACCTCTCTACTGTTTGGTGCACTAATCTCTCACTCAGAGCCTGTCTAATGTTTCTGTTCTTTTCCCTATCCAGGCATTGGCATTTGTCACTTCCTACATAAATGGTGGGCCTGGTGTCACAGATGTTCTGCATGCGTCATTCAGTATCCCCTTGTGCAAGTCTGTAGTGGTGAAGATGAAGGTGGGTAATCCACGGCTTTGGGTAATGATCATAGGGACTAAAAACAAAGTGACACAACAAAAAAATGTTGCAGCTTCAGAGAAAATCATGAAATAATCTTTGACCCTTGGTGATTTTATCAGTGAGCAGAAGAAAATACAATGGTATGGATGGCCTTACTCATTCCCACCTTCTGTCCCTTTGAATTACAGAGGCTGGTCACATTTTTAAAATTCAGTCACAATCCTACCACCTTCTTACAAGCAAAGCAAGACTTACTAACCCTACTGACCCTCTAAAAATATGTTTTCTTTCTCTCTAAAGGCCTCCATCTTCATAACTTGCATCAGTTTTATAGTACTCATTAATACATTTTTACCTGTAATCTTAGTTACAAATTGCAGTAAAATACAAAAGGTGAATAAAATGCCTCGTTAGCCCATATTGCCCTTAGACACTTCCTCTGAATTTTAGGGTCAGAGGAACTTCTGCATTTGGTCAGCAGGGCGTTGCACTTATTTGCACTTTGTAGGAAAAAAAACACGAGCTTCCCTGGAACGCTGCTTTCTATGTTTACAGGTGCCACCATGTGGATCCAATTTACTTTTGGAGTTTTACAAAGTCACATGTAATCTGATCAACTGTCTCTTAGTTCCAAATGAAGGTGGAATGGCCCTTCTGGCTTATTTTTATCCCAGTGTGTGAGCTGACTTTTGGATGGCCTTAGATTTTTTATTTAATTTATCTCAGTCGAACATTACACTCCCTGTCCAGGAAGGAAAAAACCTTGTGTTGTGTAACATGAACAAAAGAGACTTTAGATAGCTGTGACACTAGCTGATGGATTTTGTATGACATGAATTCATCCTTTAGGCTAAATAAGGCTTCTCTGACTGTGCTCTACACCACACTTATTTCTCAGTGTTGGATATGTGGTACTCGTCACGTCTGCTTGACCTTCTGAATGCAGTTTGACTTGCTTGCTGCATGTTTACAAAACTACATCATCATTTCTTTTTACTCCTCCATGATGCCAAAACATAAAAGAGCAAACTACAAAGGCTCCAACTCACACATTGTGGCAAACTGAAAACCTGGATCAACCGGCTTGCGTCACTGTGACAACTAATCCAGCTCTTCACCTACTTTCCACTCATCTTGTGTGTTCAAGCTGAGGCAGGTTCCAGCTCTGAGTCACAGAGACACGTCCAGAGTTGTGGAAATAATGGGGTGTGTTGTCCACGTCACCGTGAGCAAATACAGATCAGTAAATGCAATGAATGACAACCGAAAGCTTGAACATTTCCTCTCCCCTGTAAACTTGACAGTACACTTGTCCTGACAAGTCCTGATTCGTAAGACGTATGTAATACGTGTCAGGAGTCAGGACATATCATGTTAGCAGAATAAATTGTGTGTGTTATGCAGTGGTAGAAAGTGGCCAAGTATATTTATTCAATCGCTGTACTTAAATACAATTTTGAGGTACTTACACGTCAGTATTTTCATTTTATGCTACTTTATACTTCTACATTTCAGCAGTAAATATGGTAGTATTACTTCACTACATTTATTTGATAGATACAGTTGCTAATCACTCTTCAGATTTAAATTGCACATACAAAATCTACAATTATAGCAGTAAAATTTGTGTTAATTGGCAAAACAAAAGACCAAAATCAAAATGCTTATTACATGCTAATAATCAATAATAACAATAATACAAGGATTACATTATAAAACAACACCCTGAAATGGGTCTTTCTTCCTTATTAGTACTTTTAACAACAATACTTCTGTACTTTTACAAATGCCACAATATTTTGATATATTTTCAGAGAGTAAGGAAATAATTCAAAACATTCACTAGTCATAATTTTGCAATTCCCCTGTCTCAGCACCCACTAACTAGATGCTCAAGTGTCAAGTGTCATAGAATGTCACACAGCACAGGGGAAAGGAAGTCTTAACTAATCCAAGTGGTTTGTGTTTTTCGACAGCACTGCTCACAGTGTGTGTATGTGTGTGTGTGTGTGTGTGTTATGCGAGGACAATTACTCATCATTCAGCTAGCTGCAGCCACACCTAGCAATTGTTGGGGATTTACTGTGGAGTGTAACACACACATGACTCGCCACTGCCATCAAGTGATACAACTGATTCATGGAAACTGGAGTACATGGAATTCACAGAAAAGACTTTGGGGCCATCATGTGGGTATGATATGAAAGTGGTCCCTAAGGTGGAGGGAACAGCTAGGGGCTCTCTAACCCCAGGTTAAAGACATTATAGCAGAATTGTTGAATTCACTAGAAATAAACAGTGAATGAACAGAAGTATACTTTCTATTAGTTGAGATTTGTAAATGTGTAGACAAATCTGTAAATGCGTTCCCCGGTCCCCCAGTTTGCAGTTGGCACCTTAGCCTCTGCTCATCAGAGTATGAATTTGTGTGAATCTGGTGACTGTGATGCAGTATAAAGCGCTTTGAGTGGTTGAAAAGTACACACGATTTACCAATCAATTTTCTTGATGAAACTTGATTATTACAGCATCAACTTGAGGTCAATGAGTGTCAGTATATGTGTCAGAGTAGTGGCTGGAACCCACCTGCCAATTTTGGTGTTTCTTTGTCTTAAGGTTTTTGCTGCACCAACACTTTTAGCAGATAAAAATTATAATAAGAAATTTTCAGGGTCCAAGCAGGCAATCTTCAACTTAATGACCTCAATAACACATCGTAGCCATGAATTACTATATTGTAGTCAAGTGGGATGTTGTTGCCTGGGGATGTAGGATTCAAATCCTACATCCCTGTATCTACATTGAAGGTGGTGGTCAATCTCCCACCAGCAGGCAGACTTATCCCCACCAGAGATGAGCCCAGTGAAGTGGGAAAGGACACAGGCTTGAGACTGGACACTGGTGTTGATGGTCTGAGAGTCAGAGACATGTTTTCCCAGCTTCATGTGCTGCTGCAGGTGGAGTCAGACACGCTCAGCTGGGACAAATCCTGTCCTGTAGCAGAACTGGGATGATGGTGTTAAAAGCAGGGCTGAAATCTACAAACAGGTTCCTGAGGAGTCCAGGAGCTGCAGGATGAAGTGAAGGGCCATGTTTACTGTATCGTCTACGGACCTGTTGGCTCTGTAGGCAAACTGCAGGAGGTCCGGGAGTGGGTCTGTAAAGGATTTGACTGGTGGACTG